CAGTGGGCTTTGGATAGAGGGACGTCCGTTGTCATAGCCAATGGTATGACATTGGATAGTACTATATTGAAAACAGTGCAGGGTAGAAAGATTGGCACATTCTTCACTGGCGCCAAACCGACTGGTATTCCCATTGAAGTGCAAGCTATGAATGCGCGAGATGGCGGCAGAGATTTACTGGCTTTAACGGCAGACCAGGTACGGAAACTTTACAAAAAAACATGACAATGATTCTGATCCTGTCCTGCATACGTAGATGATAGATAGTTAGTTATAATTATTTAATGTTTGATTGAGACTTCCTCTGATATTGTAATAAATATTAAGCATGGACTATTTGATTGCAGAATTGTTTGGATGTTGAGCGCAGAAGGCAACTGCAGGCACCATTCCCAGAATAGTTTCTCTTTTATTCTGCTCTTTTCACATAAAATGTTGTGAAAAATTTAAAATCTTTTGATCAAAAGCTAAAAGTTATGCCACACAAGTACTGTGTGTGTAAATTATATCTTGCACATAGGAGGAATGGTCATGCTCATCAGCATCAAATTGATATGTCAGATCAAAAAATTTCGGACAGGGACTGTGTCATTAACAATGACTTGTATGAATTTTATATTGAAAAAAGCAGACTATAAATGAATCTAGTTTGTGGTTAGTTACTTACGTACATTGACTTGAACATTTTGGTGTTTGTCAATTATTTTGTATAATTTCGTAGTTAATATTTGTACTAAATTAAAAAAAAGTTGCATATTGCCCATGTTTAGAATCCAGCTGGTTTTACAGTAACTGCTATGTTTATACTTTTTTATCACAGAGAGCTGACATTATTAATAGACTGGCTGAATTGTTGATTGAAAGACAAGACAAAATTTTATCTGAAAATAAAAAGGACTTGGAACTATCTAGAAGACAAGGTTAGTATTACCGTAGTGCTCCCTATTGTCAAAATGATTCATATTTTGGTGATATTTTCGAACTTGGTCACTGGTATTTTACAATTCCAAAATGTTTAAACCTTGTAAATCAAATTTAGAATTTTTTTTTAAAAAGTGTTTTTAACCTCTTTTGTTGTAGGAGACTTAACACCTCCCATGCTTGCCCGACTTTCTCTGAGTCCAACAAAACTACGAAGTCTATCTGACGGTCTACGACAGATTGCGGCCAGCTCTCACAACAATGTGGGTAGAATTGTAAAAAAAACGAAAATAGCAGATGGAATGGAACTAACCCAAGAAACTGTACCTATCGGTGTTCTACTGGTTATCTTTGAATCTCGCCCAGATGCTCTTCCCCAGGTACGTACATTTAGTTTACATTGAAGAGTATTTTGTCAAGATAATCGCACATATTACAATATGATTTAATTTGCGCTGTTCTTGGTTGAAGATGATCTATCATGTGGATAAGATATCAGCATGGATTAGTTGTTATCTATTTACAGAACTATGAAATATAGAAGGTCAAACAATTTCAAGGTTAAATCTGAATAAAGAGAATATTAGTTTTAACCTTTTCACCACAAGTCTTTCTTGCCCAAATTTTTCTGTACTTTTTTCATATATTCTTTACTATTTCTGGAAGTGAACCCTAATTTTTTAGCCAACAGACGAAATTTGAGTCAATTTTCAGTTTTTATTCTCAAATTTGGCTATTTTTGTCCCAATATTCTGACAGAAAGTGCAGACTATATACAGGACTATTTGGTCAATTTGTGATGAAAAGAGGGAACTGGTGGTGAAATTGTTAAGGACACTGCGTCATATTTGTAGAGTTTCCAGGAATTAACTCTGATATTACATTATAAATTTTCAAGCTCTACTTGTAGAGATGTGTATTAATAAGGATCCATAAGACGAGGCTAGGCAATTAGTGTGATATGCGATTAAGATCTTGTATAAATATTATACTATATTATATGTATTGTGTTCGTCTCTGTAGGTTGCTGCCCTAGCTATAAGCAGTGCTAATGGTTTACTCTTGAAAGGTGGTAAAGAAGCAGCCAATAGTAATGCATATCTGCATAGTCTAGTGCAAGAAGCTCTGTCGATACATGCACCTAAAGATGCTGTGCAATTGGTAAGAACAAGTTACAAAATCTTACAGTTGTTACCAAGTTTGGTTTAATGATTTGGGATAAACCATGGTATGGCTGTAGACATGTGGCCATGGGGATGTGATGATGGGGACAAATGCCATAGTCATGTTGGCATTGTGACGGTGTTATGGGCATGTTGCCATAGGGACACTGCCATGAGCATGTTGCCATAGAGACACTGCTGTGAGCATGTTGCCATAGGGACACTGCTGTGAGAATGTTGCCATAGGGACACTGCTGTGAGAATGTTGCCATAGGGACACTGCCATGAGCATGTTGGCATAGAAATACTGCCATGAGCATGTTGCCATAGAAACACTGCCATGAGCATGTTGCCATAGAAACACTGCCATGAGCATGTTGCCATAGAAACACTGCCATGAGCATGTTGCCATAAGAACAATGCCATGAGCATGTTGACATAGGGAGATTGCCATGGTTATGTTGCCGTAGAGATACTGCCATGGTTGTTATCATAGGAACACTGCCACAGTCATGTTGCCGTAGAGTCACTGCCATGGTCATGTTGCCATAGGGACTCTAACATGGTCAAGTTGCCATAGGGACTCAACCATGGGGGTTGCCATGCGGGGGATATACACTTCTATTGTGTATAGGGTTACAACTATCATGTTAAGTTTGGTGGATTTATTAATATTTTTGCTTTAATTCTTACCGACTCTTTACAACAGTCAATATTATTGAGTAAACATTATTACATTTGTATTAATGTTTATCTTGTTTGAATTTTGGTTAACCAATATTGGGAGCTGTTTCATAATTTGCATCCTATGTTTTTCTCGCATACACTATAGGTTGAAACACGAGAAGAAGTTAACGATCTACTGGAATTGGATGATTTAATTGATTTAGTTATCCCACGAGGTTCTAACGAGTTGGTACGCAAGATACAGAACGAGAGCAAAGGTATCCCTGTCCTTGGACACAGTGAAGGTATATGCCATGTCTTCATAGATAAAGCCGCTGACCCTCAAATGGCAATCAAGTTAGGTAAGGGGGATATCAATGTCATCATGTTTTTCCCCACCAAATTTTGAATATTTTTATGGATTTTTGTACAATTTTTTTGTATTAATTTTATACAAAATTGACTCAAAATTTCAATTAAGCAGAAACTGATTCTGACGTTTATTGGGTTTTGATGACTGTGATTTTTAGCAGTCATTTTAAAGACGTTATTTGCATCTCCTCGCCAAAGTTGACTTTTTTTCACAAAATTAACTTTTATATATTTTTTAATAATTTTTATCATTTTAATACACCTGATAGAGTATGTCCATTTGATTTATAAATTCACAAAAAAGCTGTGCCTAATACTGTACAAAATATTATTCCATAATTTTTGCTGGGATAAATAAAAGCCTAACAGTAAAAATCACAAAGTTTTTGCATCAGTGGAATTATAGACATTTTGTTCTTTTCATAAATCATTAAAATTATTTTCAAACAGTCAACAACTCTGCGGGAAAAAGGCGTGTTATCAAGGATATTGAATTAAAATAATTCTTTACTTTATCTGTTGCCATAGTGAGAGATTCCAAGTGTGACTACCCAGCAGCTTGTAACGCCATGGAAACCCTTCTAATTCACCAAGATCATAGGCACACAAAATTATTTGAAGATATCCTAGACATGCTGAAGGCGGAACATGTAAGTTGTATATACATCTATCCTTCCCCAGGCAAATACGCAAGAACTTTTTAGCGTAGTTTAAATTTTGTTAGCTTCAAAAAAACAACCGTCCATAATGTCTCTACTCAATGTACAGGCAACATCTCTGATGAAAGATCCAGTAAACCTGCATATTTCAATGTAACAAAATCAAAAACCTGTCAATTTTTCGTCAATTTATAACTATGAATTTATAATGAATACTTTGGTATAGCATTAGTGTACTGGTCAAGATGTCCTTGAAATTCTAGTTAGATATGAGACAAAGAACAAAAAGTAAAAGTCCCCTGTGATTAAACTTTTGTCAGTCACTGTTATGTGATACTTTGGTAAATATACTACCCTTTGTTATCTGAATATAAGCAAGCACTCTGTATTTCCTACTTCACTGTCTTAGAACTTTAACAGACAGTCAGCTATCACCCTGAAATTGAGCAGTCACACCTTCATAGTTCTGCCCATGTTTCACGAAGGGCTTTAATAATTATATATTAAACAACCTGTTGGAATTGTTTTGATTTGTATAATGTGGTATTCATGTATTATAAATATTTTGTTTTAAGGTGAAATTTCATCCTGGTCCTCGACTAGCCAAATCATTAAAGTTTGGACCATCAGAAGCGCAGTCGATGCATGTGGAGTACAGTGGCCTGGAATGTGCAGTAGAAGTTGTAGATGACGTTGACGAAGCTATTCATCATATCAATAAACATGGCAGCTCACATACTGACAGTATAGTCACAGAAGACCGTGAGTTTCTTTCAGTTTATACTGAACTCATTGTTATATTGGATGCATTTTGTCTCTGTTATAGACATTAATTTTATACAATCTTGCTACCTTTGTGGTTAAGTAATAATTCAGCATGCAAACTTTAATTGTTTAAAACTTCAACTGTCTTTAATTCTACCAATATTATTCTTAAAGGCTAGTTGTGCAGCATGTGAATGAATCTTGTGTAAAAAAATAGTATTTTACTGTTGTTTGTATACACCAATATGGAACACCCGTTAACACCCTCAGAACATCTCAGAATGGAATATCCCAAAAGACATTAGGTGCCCTTAGAGCAATCATCTTGGATTTGTGTTAAAATTATGCTTACAATGTAGTTGCTATTTTGCATAGTAACTTGCTTGTCAGTTTCTTCACTTTGTCCAGACATGGTGTATTGGTTCATTCTGTGTTCTCCCCAGGATACAAACATTTTAGCGGTGCCGCCATGCTGCTCTACCATTGTCCATGATTTCCCCAGCTATTGTTCTATGAGACTTGCTCTCACTGTTTTTGGCCATAAACAATGACAACGTCAATTAGAAAGCAATTAAGTTTATTTGGGTTGGCATGTACTAGTTGTAGTCTATTTACGTAAATCACTGAAAATATCACAAAAAAATATGTTTGAAAAAAAGATTATCCAATGTCAAAAATAAATATTAAATGAAAATAGAAAAAAATGTTCAGCATGCTTTCCATTGTAACTGGTTTATTGTGATCGCTAAAACATCACAAATATACTCGTATAAAGCAGTCTGTTGTGTATGGTACCTTACTATCCACACCATGACAAAAATCGTCCGAAAAAATGCTGAAGAAAGTCCTGCTGATTGAAACATCAATAAAAATTGTTGCTGGCTCTACGTGAGACCAAGAAAACTTGATGCCAAAAAAGTTCAACATGCTTGGTCAAAATATTCCACTACAGCCAGGGATATTTTATACAGTATAACCGTTATTGTTTTTAATTAACCGAGAATCCTCAATTATATATTTTGCCACAATTTTTGCACAACAAATGGCTGACATTTGGTAGTTGTGCTCTCAAAATCACAGTACAAAAATAGCATACTGGTAGATACCCTGGTGATTTCTTTATAATAATAATAATAATAATAATAATACATGCCCCAATATTTACAACAATTGTAGTTTAATTATACTGATGTCAAAAAATAATGATTAGTAATAAATAGTTTACTGATTCAAGCCATATACATTATATTTGCATACTAAATTGTAATTGTCCATTGCAATAATAAAACTGAGAGTCATACAGTTTATAAGCAGTTTGTTAAAAGTAGAAAAAAATACACAAACCCTATGAATAAAATATACAAAATATTATGCAAATTAGCTGCCACCCTTGACTGGAATCCCAGGGAGAACACTGTCATTGTATGTATATACATTATCATTGCAAGGTTTTACTAGTTTTGCTATGTTAAGGTATCTGAAACTCACCACATCACTTGTCTTATACAGAGGAAACTGCAGAGCGGTTCTTGCATGGGGTTGACAGCGCATGTGTGTTCCATAATTCCAGCACCAGATTTGCAGATGGATATAGATTTGGCTTAGGTAAGATAATCCAACTTAATCTGATATTATTTTTTTAGCATATAAACGTGACTACAGTGTTTTTTATGTGTCTGTGTTTTAATTGGTATGTTATTTTCAGTACATACATGGCATTTAGCCTGCAGCCAAAAAGCAGAGATTAATCCACCATGTATTCCCAGAGGGTCATGCATTTGACAGGGACTTGGCAGATGCAGGGATAGTGGATTGATACGATTTAACTGTATTAACCCTTTCACAACCACTATTGTTTTAATTTGTATCCTTCCGTGTCCAGAACTACTACCTGAACTGCCTTGTGTGGCTGACTACTAATACAAATCAAGCAATTATTTAAACAACCTGAAAACCACTATACTCCTTAGTTTGTTAAGTGAAAAGGTCTATCAAATAAATGAGTAGCGGTGTTGCTCAAACTTAAGAACCCCAATTTTGTTGATTTACTTTTACTTCGTCCATCAAAATATTTTTTTTTTCTCCCAAGCAACATTTTCAAACATAGTCTCTTCTGATTTAGTTCCATTACAAACTATTTTACACAAAATTGTTAGTTCAATATACAGTAATTATTGAATTTTCAAATATTGTAAAAAATGATATTTGCATACAATTCTCGATCCAAATGAAGTGAGATAAATATGACAACCACCAGTCTAATGATGGAGAGCACCCCTAGTGACATTTTAGTGTATTCTTTTGTTTTCTCTACCCCAAAATGAGGCTCATCTGTATGTTTGTTTGCTACTTAGCCTCTCCAATGCTGTGGTTCTGACATTCTGGCCACCTGTGAATTTTCAATTATTTCTGCATGCGTTTGACTTTTTATGATTTTTTTCAGGCGCTGAAGTTGGAATAAGTACATCTCGTATTCATGCACGAGGACCTGTCGGAGTGGAGGGCTTACTAACAACAAAATGGATTTTACGAGGTGCTGGGGATGGAGTGCAGGATTTTGCAGAAGGTGGACTCAAGAAATTTATTCATGAAGAATTATATTAAAAAAAGAAATATTTTAAACAAACTAATTACTATATAAAATTAACAAATTAACCACTGCCCAAATTTGTGCATGTATTATCATTTTTTTTTCTCATATATTTTTGTCCCCAAATTACAAAAATGCTGAATCGTCAATAGCTTTGCATATACGTCATTCATTATTTTATTTTTAACCCATTGTCAATGTTTGGCACCGTGCTACACAAGGATTTTGTATAGTTGTCTTCTTCCCCCATGAAATGTTGATAAAAAAAGCAATATCTGGAACTGTTTGTATCGTCCAACATAATGATGAAATTTAGTGACAGTTTCACAAACTGTTAAAATATTGTCAATGAATTCTGGTGGAAAAATATCAGTCATTCAAAGGGTTGAGTATCGCTAGTCAAATCAATGCTATTATTACCTTAAATCACACCTATTTTTTTCCTAAGTTGTGCATATATATTTTTATGCATTTCAAATTTTATTATGTCATTTTTTCATAAGAATACTATAAAAGCATTATTTTTGACCAAGATATAATTTTGATATTTTCAGCATATCACAGAGATTTGCCAGTGAAATGACAAGTTCTATTGTAACTCTACAACATTCACACAGATTTAATCAAACTCTTGTGAATAATTAATAGTTTTACTTTATTTATTTGTTAATGTTATATTATCACATTTTTTTTTTATCTTTGTGATGTTGCTATTATTTCTTTTTTTTCAATGTTGAATACAGGTTACTATATAAATATGTATACCATGTAAAATCCCTGTATACTGAATCTGGATTTTTTTTTCATACATGACTTTTGTAATCAGGAAATCTTCACTTTAGTAGTGGATATAATGTATAATGTCCTGAACACATCTTCTGATGGCCGGTTTCATTTTGACTATCCTAAATCCATTGAAAAGGTGATGTGGTAACACAAAAGTCAACTTTTGACTACTAGCAAATTTTTTCTTCAATTTTATTCAAAAAAAAAATATATATATATATATTGGCAGTGGGACATTATTAACATTGAGTTCAAATTTAACAAAGAAATGAAAGAAAAATGCTTACAAATTTTCAAAATATTGCACTGAAGTTTTGTCAAGATAAGTAATGGCATTACTATGGTTATACAAATTGTCTATATATAGGTACATTATTCTCTGTATCAACGATGTGATGTTTTGCTGGAAATAGTTTGAAAAGTTTAGTATGTACACTGACAAGATGGTTATTGCCCTGAGGCACTGTTATTCATCCTCATGCTCTCATGAGTTGTATTATACACTCGCTTTTGGTTCACTGCAAATAATACAGATCATGACATCACTCTTTTCAAACAGCTCTACAAACATGTAATATTGGGAAATTAGTTCATATCATCTAATATTTCTCCCATCAGGGAAGCACATAAAAAACACGTTTTAGATTTTTCAGTCTTGATGACGTATGGATCTCGCATGACCTGTGCACATGGGTGAATGTGCGGCTCCAGGCACTACAATTATTACATTCTTATTGTTCCACTGTGGTCGCAGAAAGTTTGGTGTGGGACCCATGCTACGTATAAAATGTGCGTAAATTTCAGTGTTAATACACTGTCAAAATCATTCCCTCATACTCGGTATTTCAATTTATCTATGGCCATGTTAACGCATCTCCATGTGGGGGTGAGTGGAATTAATGTCACCGAGCTATTAATTCTGCATAGCTTTGCTGGATTTTTATGATCAATGGTATATGTATAATCACGCAATTAATTATGCAGAAAAAAAAAAGGTACAGGAAGAGCATTTCCATTGACCTGAGTAGCCTTAGATACTGGTTGAGGCGGATGCTATGATGTTTGCTATACAACTGCTGCAGTTACAGTTCATAGCTTGGTGTAGTACGTGTACATTATGTATCTACTGTATGCCCAAAATCAAATCCGAATCCATTTGATCATTATTCTGTCTTTTTCTTTAAATTTTCTTTAAATAAAATATATTTTACTGTAGTGTATAACATTTATCGATAACATATCAAAATGCGTAACTAAAGTTCTAATTTTCAAAAAGCCGTTTTGTAGTTCGTGATCATGTGAGGAAAAGCTTTAATTCATTTTGCCAGTATCAGTTTTGTTTATAACAATCACATGACTGAGTTCATCCAATCATAGACAAGCATTATCTAACTGATTAATGTTCATTGTCTCAGACTTGATAAACTTATCAAAAACTGAACTTTTCAAAAATTAAGTTTTAATATTATCGTACATTTAATCCTCTAACAATCGTGTCAATTTGAATTGAAAATTATTTGTGTTGTGTTTATACATTGTATTTGTATATTTCTTTATTCTCAGCATTAATTTTTTTTGTAATCTTGCTGTCTATATTTTTCGTTTGTCCGAGATCATATCTAAGTGGCATTTTCTGAAAGACTAACGATCAAATGTTCTTTATTAGCTACATGCTAGTCAATAATAACAATAAGTGGTTATATTAACTTGAAATGTGTCATTAGTTTTATTTATAAAAATTCATACATAGTTTTTTAATACTATGGGCTATTAAAAGTTAATCTGAGAGGTATAGAGCGAATGACCATATTACTCGGTAATTCAAAATCTATCGATAATTCCCCATTTTATTTTATCATGTATATCTGAGTACTGGTTGTGAGGATGGTTGCAAATATTCCATCTTAATGCTAGTGTATAATAATGCTAAAGTCATAAGAAGTGCAATCACCTAATCACAAAAATGGAATAACTTGCAAAAAAACACTATCAAATTCATGAACAAACAGGTTCATTAAAATAAATCTAAACTGATTGTTTTTCCTGTACAAATGTATGTTTGAAAGAGCATAATCAACCATTGATTGCCGATCACAAGTCGTAACAGGGAAATTCAAAAGTCCAAAAACACAAAACACACGACTTGAAACAATTTAAAAAAATGAGAACAAGTACTTTACACAGCATAGTCAAATCGGAAAGAGATAGGTTCCATGGTATATATGTGAAGTGATGACAGGTGAGCGCATCCTGCTCCACGCGTATATCCATATATATCATTCTGAGTCCTATTCAGATGGTGTCTTTGAAACACAAGGTCTACATCAGACAAGAAGTCATCTATGTAACAATGTTATTGTATTTAAACAAAAGCTAAGGCTAGTCATTCTCTATATGCAAAATATTTGGTCCACTCATAGTAAATGAGCTTGGAAATGTATACCTCAAAGTAGGACATTTTTGATAGTTAACAAATTTAGTCTTATTGCATATGCCTACAAACGCACTAATTCATAATTAGCAAGCAATGCATGGCACAGTCCCTGTTAGTTATCAAATTTAAGATATATAGTTTTGTTTATTGTAAGATAGCTGGAATATAAACATGTCAGGAATATGATTATAATGATTGTTTATCATTAAAATGATTTAAAATTTGTATCTGATTGTCAAACGAGTACTTGTCCATATTGAGAGATATTGCTCTGGAACAGCATTAATTAAAACAAAATCAGCCATTTTGAATACATGTATAAATATATAACAAGATGTATAATGAATATATACAATTTGAACATAATTAGTCAAAGCATGTCAGAGATGTGGCTCTAGAAGCCCATTTATTAAAACAAAATGGCCGCCAGTCAGCCATTTCAATCCGTTATGTTATAAGTTTGAACGAAATCCATCCAGAAATGCTTGATATTTGATGATTTTTAGCACAAAAATGGCCGCCATTTGGCCATCTCGAATCAGACCGTGAAACAAATTAATGTGCATATGTATATTATCATGTATGATATATGTGTGAAGTTTGATTGTGATTGGTCCAGGCATTTCTAAGATACAGGTCCGGACACACATACGGGAGCACGGACGCACGGAGGTCAAAACATAAGTCCTCGTTTTCGGACGGACTAATAATGGAAGCAATTTATGCGAGGCAAAAACGGCCTCAAACTAATTGTTTGAACAGTCAGGACAGAGTGAATTAATTTTGTTCAAATAAGTCAACTGTTTGATAACCAGATGGGTAAGTAACTACATTGTATATTCACTAGTTAATAATCTGTCGCAATGCAACCCAAAGTGGGGGGAAATGTTTCAAATAGAACTTGGTGAATGTGGATTCCTGTTGCCAGAAGACCGTCCCAAAGGACAGGGAAGCTCTTTCTAGAAAAGATTTTGACCTTTCTCAGAAGTCATGCGTGTATGCTATCTTTGATGTCTGAGTTTATATGGGAGATAGAACAAGGCGACGATTGGCTTGGCTGTTGGCTTGGTTATTGCCTCTCTGAAAACTGATTTTAACATTGAATTGGTTGTTTGATGAGTGGCTGTTCTTGGGATTCCCCAAAGGTCTTTCGTCAAATAATATGCATCTTTTGCAATGGGATTTTCTTGTGGCTATTTAGTTGCTCAAGTACCTCCAACCAAAAAGTGTGCTTGGTTTGTCAACAATGTTGGTTTAAAGTAACTATTGTCTTCCAGTTGTGTTTATGAGTAATTGAAGTTGATAGTAATAGTGGCAGGAATCTATATCCATCTATTTTCTAACATCTCATTTTTAGGGCATCCTATGTTTGAGCATGGCCACATAAAAGCCTCAAGACAAAATTGGTTCTTTGGGTTTTGACGTTTAGTGAATATGTCAATCAAATGCCTTGAATAGGTTTGCTAGTAACTGACTTGCCTGCCACTCGACATCATCAAACGTGCTCTGATAAGAGAGCACATCCGCTAATGAGTTCAGTTCAGTCTTCAAGTGCCTTTCTAAATAAACATGTAACCACCAAGTATAAATCGCTGTGTTGAGCATTGCCTCGTATTGTGTTCTGAAATCGCACTTATATATTTGCGTCCAAATTCCTCAATCATGATAGTACTTCCACTAAATGCCCATAATCTGACAGGGCGTCTATAATGTTATTTCACTTTAGCTGGTGGAGTAACAACGTAAGTCACTGTGAAAACTGCAGGAAAACTGGACGGAATGAATGTGTCATCAGTCATGCATCATCAAATGACAGCCCTTCCACACTTGGAATGGGAACTTGGTTCTGGTTGGCTGTGGTTGCACGGTCACGGTAAAGCTTCTTACAAACTACCTCATCTTTGGCCGTCAAAGTTATTCATCACACCTCACCGACCATTGATTCAGTCTCAGGTACATTAGGCTGATTACTGAACTGCAGTAGTTGTTACAGACCACAATGCATCCTGGCGTTACCTTGCTTCCGGCCGATCATAAAAAAACACGCAAACCAACTTCGCAATTCGAATAGAATAGACCCACAACAAATGTAGCAGCAGTTATCATCAATTTTTAGCTGTTTATATTTTAACAATCGTGTCTCTAAATCAATCAGCGTTTCCTGTAGTTTTAGTGGCGGCGAGGGATATGACGGATCTTT